TGTATCTTAAAGTCCGCTTCTATGGATGAATGCAAAGCATAAGGCGTCATGCATTTAATCTGTTGTATGCGTCAGTTACGGATGTTACTAGTATAACTTACGAGTATATGAAGCACTGGCACAAGAAAAAAATTATAAAACTTTTATTTGCTTCAATGTAATTTTCTTATATTCTTTTTATATAATTTACTAGGAAAATTCAGAGTTCTTCATCATTTATTTCAGATTATCGCCGACTTACTTCTCTTGAATTGAACTGGAAAAGCAACAAATCGTTAAATTTAAAGTACGTGATCGTAACTTGTAATATCGCTTTTGTATCTTTTTCTTAATATTATTGTCTTGCCAGAAAGCTTCACTCCAAAGTATTGAATTAATTTTATTTTTATTTTTATTTTTATTTTTATTTTCATTTTCACAAAAATTGATCGCAACAATTTAAAAGAGTTGATTTGGTTTGATTACCAACATCCGATTCACATAGTACATTTCTTCTGGTGCCAATTGATTACAATTCAACGAATTTTGTTGGAATAAAAAAAAAAAAATTGAAAAATAATCTGAAACATGCCAAAAACTGCATACTTAAGTCTTAGAGGAATTTAAATATTAAATAAATATATATAAGAAATATGAATGCAATATTCAGTAAAAAATAATATTTACATGTAAATAATTTTGGTAGATTTATTTAGTATATAATACCAAAATAATATATTTTGTAATATAATAAAAAACATAAACCATATATATATTATATATTAAGTTCTTATGAGTATAAGAGACAGTGGCGTAACTACATTTTTTAGGCCCTTAAGCAAATTCTAACTAAGGGCCTCCTACTAACATCTATTTATACCCTTTACACGAAAAAGTGTAAAAAGGGTATATTAGACTTGTCAAGATTTTCGTAACGCATTAAAGGAAACGTCGTAAATACCAAAAAGTATATAACAGTATATGTATATATATACTTTTTCAGTTTAAACTACTCTCTCAGCTTTTGAATTCTTCGAATGAAACTTTACACACATACTTTTCGGGAGCAGACCCTGTTTACCATTTGATTTGATTGAAATTGGCCTACTAATTCTTATAGATGTATGTATTTTTATTTTTCTTGACAAATTTTTCCAATACTTTATTCATCATTTATATGTCGATGATATTAATTTTAATTGTATATTAGACAGTGTATGTCTAATACAATTCGAAAAGATTGCATCTTATAAAATGTTAAAGATGTATCTATTATTATTGTCCTTTTTGAATTTGAATTTGAAGTTGTGCTTGTTTTTATTATCTGCTTACTTTTATGAATTTTCTTCACTGTATTGTGGCTATGATTAGATACATGTATCATCTTTATGATTCATTTTCGCAGTTAAGTAGTTTTAGTTTTAATTTAAAAATTCTATTATTTACAATTAAACAGTAAGTAACTAACTAAGTAACCTCGGGTTAAATCGGGTATAAAGTCAAAATACTCCCAGAAGTAAAAAACAGATAACAGCCTAAATGTATGCATTCTTTTCGTCTGTTTTTAATTATTAACGAAGTTAGCAAGTATTGTATTTTCTTAGGTTATTAGCTACAGAGCCAAACGGATGTTAATTCTAATAATAAATCGTAGCTGTATACTTAGATCAGAGATTAGGTTACACGGGCGAACTCTGGTGGATCCACTTACGCATTTTGGCCCATTGCGTTACCGTATATGAAGGAAAAACTCGGGGTTCAAAACCACCTAGAACCTTTAGCGAAGCCTAAAATGCTTTTTAATGTTAGTTCATGCAATTGATCAAAATCCTCAAGAAAAGGGACTCTCAAAGTGTTGAGTCACCGCCGTGCATAGCTGTGTACAAAATATTTATAAAAAAAATTATCTCTCAAGCTCAGAGAGTAGATTTGAAAAAGGAATTCAAATCGAAACACTACATGACCAACGTTTCAGCAAAGCTCAGTTTGAAAAGTTCTACTTTAAATTATCAAATGCATTATATACTTCATTTTATTTTTCTACGTCATTTTATATATAAAAATCTATAGTAAAATGGTAGTTTGTCTCGAAACAAAAGAATGTTTAAACATAATGAGAATTATAAATTAAAGATTAAGTAAATTATTGAAGCAGGATCAACAAAAGCATTCACAGTGGTTTCTAATTTTCAAACGAATATTAAATACTTCTTACCTTGCTCTCTCTCTAAATTTAATTAAGTTCAAAAAAATTTGTAATTAATGTTATGTGAATAAATATGAATCAATTAATCTGATTTCTTTATTTCAAAATAACTTAAATATGACCAGAAAAGATACCCAGATATTATAACCAATATAATCAGTATATACTATGAATTGTGTAACTTATATATATTACACTTTTCTCTTTTTGATGGACTGCTTTATATTTTTGGGTCATATAATAAGTATTTACCGTTTTCTTGTAGATTTTTAAATAAAAATTTACTTTATTAAATGTATTATAATTCATTGACTAAATATTTTAAAAGACCTTTAAATTAAAAAAAAATATATTTTTGGCAATGAAAATATTTACATAGGAGGTCAATTTAACTATTAATGTCCAAATAATTACCATATATATATATAAGTTCCATTTTTATGGGTTTATTGTTCTATTGAACAATTGTGTTGCTATATATTATTATGTTAGACATATATAAATATGAAATATAAACTTAAATGTTATAAAAAAGTAATATTTAACAATATAAAAGCAAAGTTCATATAAAATTTTTAATGTTCATTATTTCAGCAAAATTCTATTCTATATCGGCTGTTCTCAGAAAAATGACCAATAGGCCCATAAAAATCAGACTTATAATTAGTAGTTTGGTGAAATTATTTAGTTATTAGTTATTTTCTGCTTTGTTTTAATTTACCTTTAATATTTTTTGCTGCTTTGAGCAAATATTTTTTCATATTTTATTTCTTTTTAGTGCTGTTAATGGCGCATTAATATAACATGTATTTGAACTAGGTTATAACTTACTGTTATAATTTAGTAGATACATTCATATGTAGTGCAACAATCTCAACTTCGAATAGTTGGATACATATGGTAAGTTTTGTATATTATATGTAGAAATTTGCTAATGGTTACATGTATTGCACTAACACTTTTTATATAGTTAATGTGTACTATATATAATAGTGCAGTATAATATATATATATATATGTTGATCCCATTCCGAGTGTTAGTGAATTTGGACACTTTTACTCTTTGATTGCTGGAGGGTTTCTGCAGAGTCCCGCCCATCTCACTGACTAATTTGTGCATTGCTCATAAGCTTCTTGATTATTCAATGACTGATCTAAGATCTGCGTACCGTCCCGTGCTGATAGTTCCTGTACGTTAATTATTAATTATTTGGTTATGAGAGTAAGTGTAATTCCAAGTGTGGTCGAAAAAAAGATTTCAACACTCAAATCTATCAAAAAGTTGATTTGATAGCACTTAACATCAAAAATTTGTTCAAAAATGGTTTCCAGTGGTACATTTTTGTTATTATGACGATAAAGCACTTTTGCTACGCTTTAAATAAATTAAGAGCATTAAGAAGAACTTTTGGAAGTTGCCCAAACTACACACATTTAATGGATCATTTGCAATTTTCTTAAAAGGCAAAGCAACCTATCGCCAAATAGATTTTATGGTGAAACCAAGTCATTAAATTTGACGCCTGTACATAAGCTGAGCTACTTTACGAGAACATAAAATGGTTAAGCTTAACCCAAGTATGGCGACGCTTAAGTTGCTATGATTTATTTTAAGCATTTACAAGCAATTGAAGATAATTAATTGTTTTTATTGTTAATTAAGAAAGTATAAAAAATTTAATTAACAATAAAATTACTTTAATCTTAGCAAAATTAATTGAAACTTAAGTTGATGGCAGATTAAACACACACTTTCGTGTCGAGTTCTTAGAAGACTCAGGAGGATAGTACTGTGCGTATAAGAGCTTTGAGTATTGTAAAGTTCAAGGTGCGTAGATGATGGTGACATGGAATAAAATTTGTTAAGGACAACAACAATATTGAGTGTTATTTTTTAGTCTATGTATCAGAAGTGTTACAAAAAATTTACATTTTAAAAATATAAAAAACCAGAAAAATTTATTCTCAGCTAACTTTTAATTAAATAAGTTATTACCTTTTTAACTAGTTTAATTTATAAAGTTAAAATATGAGGTAAATATAAATATGTGCAATTCTTGTTGTATTCAGGTGTGCTTTTCATATTTACCAACACTTAAACTGATATAAAAGTGTTGTATAGCAATAGAAAGAATTTTTTTCATAACTGTAAAGAAGTTTTTACTATTTTCAAGTGATAGAATCCAATGCTAGGAGTGTCTTAAAATAGACTATCGCATGGTTTTCAAATTCAGTTCAGTCACCCACAATGCACAGACTGTTGTTTTAATACAATTTCAATACATTTTTGTACTTGTAAATGCACATAACTTCAAACCAAAGTAAACTATTTTTATAGGCTTTGCAGTGATGGCTCTATAGTAAATACCGTATTAACCCACTTAGTTCAGTTGTTGTTAGTACATACATTTTATGGCTTGAGCGCAGATTTCCCGGTCTTCTTTATTTTATTGGCAACAATTGTCAATTGAATCACGACTAATCATTGTCAGTAATTTGATGCTAACATTAGTTTTTGCTAGTATTTCTCGCTCTAACGATTTTTGATGTCTTTACTGTGGGTTAAATTTCTTTTTATTGATATAATTTGAATTCTGTCAAAATCAAGTAGATGAAAAGCAGGGATGTAACTCGACCAACTGTAAATCAACAAAACAGCAAGACTCTTGTGAAAGTCTCAAGTAATTATACTAGTGCCACCATTCCAATCTATCAAATGTGTATTATAGTATGTTTTAACAGATGATAGGTAAATATTTCTTTTTGAGAACTTGAGAACTCTGTAAATTTTAGAGTTATTGTCAATACCACTTACCATTACGTGTTGTAGAATTTGCTGCTGTCGTTAACTGTGCAATTGTTGTTGCATTTGCAACTGGAGTTGTCGCTGTAGATGTAGTGTGCGTGGGCGTTATTTGCTTTTGGTCCTCATCTAAAATGACAACCGGCACTGCTGTAACTAATTTATAATCTGGTAAATGACCTGAAATTATTTGTAATTTTTATACATTAGTTTTTCTAAGTTAAAGATATTTTATTTAAACAATTAATAGAATTATTAGTAGTAAGTATTTGAGTTAGATTTGTGTAGAAGAAGTTTAAAATTGGGTGAAAGAAACCCTTACATATGTTTTTCGATATTTGTAATTCAAATATTTCAACTTAAGTATTAATTTTACAATATATTGTATCAGTGCCTCGGAGTTTTTGAGGAGGAGAAAATGGACTTCCACATGAAAGAACGAACTTATGGACCAGTTATCTGTTAGGCAGTTAAATTATAATTTTTTTCCATATAGTTATGTAGATATAAATAGATCAATTTAATTAAGATGTCAAAAGACTCGATCTGATTATTATCTTTGTAAAAAAATTAAAGACAAAATAATCTGTTAATTATCTTTTTCAAAATTATGAAATTCAGAGTGATGAAATGTCATATATCACTCTCAATCTCTTCACGAATTTTACTGCTCCAAATTTAATGTATAGTACAAGTTCAGAAGGCGGTTAATTAATACCATAGAAATTTTGAAGGCAGGTACTGTAGGTATAGTCTTAAGAGCTCAGATTATGATCGCTTTTGGAATTTTTTCTATAAACTTTCAGACACTTTTAGGTTTCAATATTGTTTCGTTCAATTTTTTAACCGAAATCACTTGTAAGTATATAGGAATACAAGTAAAAATTTACTTAAGATACTTTCTTTGTGTTGACCACGAAAGGTTCCATTATGTTTATTTCAAAGCGTAAGTGTATATAATTGATATAAATATAATATAACATACGTATCAATAGCGAATTCCACAAAAAAAAAAATGAATACAATTAAATACTTCTGGTAAGCGATAACAGAGACAAATATTTTCAGACAATTTTTTTAAACATTTGTAATTAAATTTTGCAATGTTAACAGTGAGTTTTCAAGTGTCAGCAAACGTTGGTCTTCGATTACAGGAACCTACGCGGAATGAAGTTAATAAACGTGCAACTTACTTCCATTCTCGTCGTAATAAGTCTTAAAGGTCTACTTATTTCAACGACGATCTTAAAAAGAAATCCAACAGTCAAATATTCAACAGAAATGAAAGCCCTAACTATGGCGAAAGAACATGAAAGTGTTGATATTTCATTAAGAGGTGTATCCGATTTAGCTGTTATTAATTCAATATACGATTTCGTTATAAATACGAAAAGCGTGACAGAAATACGGAAAATTCGGTTTTTAGCAAGATTAGAACGGCTCAAATATAAGGATATCATAAAATATGAAGTTACAGATTTAATGTATTTAGTTAAACTATTTGAGAAGGTGCACCATACTGTTGAAGAGAGTGACCAATTCAAAAATAGAAAACTACTCATCCACCTAACTGCTCTCAAGCACTCTTTAGAGACACACATATACAATATTACGCTTAATGTGTTAGCGGCGAAAGCTGTGGATGTGCATAAATTGACATCTGAGTCTACGTTTTCAAGGATAACAAAATTTTTAAGTGACCTGCCAATCGAAATTATTGTTAGACTCACAAAAGTCTGCGCAAAAAATTGGTTACCTTCAACAAATACGAACTTTTTACTTCCAATACTTAATATGCAGCATTTCAATAGATTTAAATTGTATTTGATGCAAAGTTTGTACTGGGAACTAAAGGCCCAAAGATTGTTAAATGCTACTTTATTGCATTCATTTGGTTTGGGATTAAAAGTAATAAAGAAACAGCACAGCTTCAATAAACTAACACATTTTGAAATTCATCAAATCAAAAATATGGAACAATCCTTACCGCTCTATATACGTGTATTGTACTTCAGCTCAAATGTTTGCCTAGAGAATAAGGATACGCTATTTTACCTTACTTCCACGTCAAAATTATTTAAAGATACAGATAATTTCAAAAACTTGCAACTAGGTATATCGCTGGGTGCACAAAGTCTTGCGTTTTGGAATACCATATCAACTGAAGCTGGCGATATGCTTGTTCTGACAGATGTCTTTGATAACGATATGATCTTATTTCCAAATAAAAAGTATCATAATTTTGCAGTGAATAAGACAATCAATTGGATTTTAGAAGAATATGAGAAAGGATTATACACGATTAGAAGTTCAAATCATGGTAACTACTTTTGTGTAGAAAATGGTCAGTCATTATTAAGTAAAGCCGATCATTTAGAAAAAAATTGTTTATGGATTATTAAAAACTGCACCCAATTCGCAAAAGCAGTTCAAAATAATAGTAGAATATGAGCTAATTATAAAATGAGGTGTATAAAAATGTAAAATATATTTAAATATTAAAATATAATATATTTTTAATTATATATTATTTCTAGTGTGTGACATTTTGAAACTAAGTGCATATAAGTATTACTAATGTAAACAATTATTTTATTTTATCGATAAATAAATTATTAACATAAATTATTAATTTTATCAATTTTTATTCAAGATCACATAAAGTGATATAATATTCAATATTATATGCCTAACTACTTCACTTTTCAATTTGCTTAAAGAATAGAATTGTGTTAAATGTGACATCAGGATAAGACGATATCTGGAAGGATCAAAACAAGTCGGTCAAAACCTAAAAGATTGTTTATATCTATTTTTATAGTCGTATGTTATGTTATCGTTATGGAATTTTGTAAAAATTCAGAGATATCTGCATAGATTTGAGACACTTAATTTCTTTAATGATATTACATATTCAAAGTTTTAGGACTAAATAGATTATTGCTTCGATTATTAAAATCAACTAAAGCAAAACATTTTTGGTAAGACTAATGCCCACGAAATCCAAATTTTTATGCATCCCTAGAGGTCATCTTAGTTTAATCTTGACCGCACTGACTTTAATTTTATCATTTTTGTTTGCCATTTTATAATGTCGATCAGAAACTATTATGCTCGTACTGTTGTTACTAAAGTCACACTAAATTCATGTTGTCGTTGTTGTTGTTAATGTGATCTTCAATGACAAGCGGCTGTTGATACGACAAATCAATCCATATTGGTTATATCTTAAGTGGAGCACGATGTAACACTATACTAACGATTAGATTATGTGCAACCACATTGAAATGGAGTTCCGCATCGACTGTATCACTTATGTTACAGTATAGGTAAGAGCGGTGTGCGGAGTGATCGTATCTAATATTTAACAAAATTAAGTAAGAGTGCACTATAAGAGATCTATATATATCTGAGTTGTAATAGTAAAGTATGTGAAGCCAAACACTTCCTCATATTTGTGTTGCGTATAAGTTGTGGCATTAAATTAATAGAATGAAATATTTGTGGTTGAATTTATGAGTATTTTTTGTATTTGTAGTGAGAAAGGAAGTTATTTTAAAAAGTAAATATATTTTTTTAAATATTCTAAAAAATATATTTTAAGAAAGAGATTTTTATAACCCAAAGTACCATAAATTTTATTGAATCCCAAAGCACACTTACCATTTGGTGCCATTAAAGATATCGTTGAGCCACCATTACAGACCTTATTGCTCACATTACCATTTGGCGTCAGAGAAATGCCACCATTCTTACTCTTTTCATATATGCAACTGCTTGAAGATGACGCATTGCGTTGTTGACCCATACTTTGATTACCGAATTTCTGATAGTACGGCTGAGTGACAGCTATATTATTGCTGCTGCCACCATAATTCACGTATAATGTGTTGTTGCATTTGTTGTTGTGAAAGTGTGTAGGCAATGCCGCATGACGTTGTAAGGTGGCATCATTGAGTGATGCCACTGACAATGCCGAGGGTGTTTGACGTCCACTTGCATTATGCGCTGGCGTTAAATGCAGTGGTGAGTGTGTATGTGATGAGGCGCCACTGTTACTGCTATTCACGGTGCTGGCTACGGATGGCGCACGTGGAGGCGTAAGACCACTTGTGCTTAGATTTGTGCAGCTGAGTATCATGACGGGTGAGTCATGCAGATCAGGCAGTGAAGAAGAAATTGCTGAACTGCCTGCTATCGTTTTGGTAAATTTTGAAGTACATGTTGCCACTGCTGAATTGTTAATATGCTGTGAATGGTGCGGAGATGAAGTAGTGCTATATGTATCAATGGATTTGCGTGTTTTGAAGAGACGCATAATTGTGTCTTCTAACAATTTGTAATTAACTGCTTCTCTTGGACTCCTTTAAATTTGTTCCAACTTCTGCAGTCAAACAATGAAAAATAAGTGATATCTGTAACAATAAAGAAATCTAATTAATATAAGTTACCAAATAATATAAAATCTTAAGCATGAAAACAAAGATGTGATTGCTTTCTCACAAATAATAGAGATTAGTGCTTTAAGTTTTAAAGAAATTAAAATGTATAAAAATATTAATATAAACGTAACTATTGGAAAATGTGTAAATATAATATTTAACTATGAATGATATTAGTGTTTATACTAATATTGATTAGAAATTACAAAAATATCATATCTAACTTGACTATCAAAATTAATTTAATACTTGTCCTGTATTCAGAGGACAACGACAATTACAAAATCTATAACGAGCAGAGTGAAACTTACGCCCATTTCATCTATCCGTGCAGCCCAATTGCCAGGAACACTAGTTTAGCTGACAAATACAATTCGGCTTTTATTGAACAGAATGAGGTCTGGAATTTTGTTGGGTTTGCCAATAATTTTATATAGTACGGGCTAGTTTAGGAGATTCTGCGCAGTGATACTACAATGGATCTCGTAGATCATAGTGTACCACTAATCTTTCTAATAATAAATGAATTTTTTTGTATAAAATTATGAAATTAAAATTGATCAGTATTGATGTGTTATACGAGTTTTTATAATTTGCAAAATATTTTTATAAAAATTGTTTGCATGGCCAATTATTGAAACATTCTCGATGCAACGCAACATGTTGCGCGAAGTTTTGCTTTTATTGACAACCACAACTTGTTGCAAAAACCTGTTGCGAAATTGATTTTCGATTTTTGTTTCGTTTTCTGTGTAATTTTGACAGCAGATTCACGTCATAACTAAAAATCTCAATCTCATTGAAAGTGAAAACCTGCTGCGAACGTTGATCTGAAATACTCGACTGCTATTTGCTAAATTTGCCAAGTTGCATGGGATTTCGATATGTTTTTCCATTTAAGACACTTTCTTGTCAGTTTGCGCAAAAATTGGATATGAATCTGAGGTGTGGCACTCAAACTGAGTTTTAATCTTTTTAATAATATTTTAAATATTATATTTAAACCAAATGTATTTTATAACCACAACACAACAAAAAAAAATGTTTAGGAAGATATATTATTAGTTTGATTATTTCCTTCGCTTATGCCTAAAAATTTTTATTGTATCTCAAAAGTTGAGTTGAAAACAAAGTGTAGGTGTTTGTAAATAGTTGTCAACGCATTGTCACGAAATTAGCAATAGTTTTATAGTTTTTGTTTGTAAGACAAATTTGGTAAAAGACTTCTGTCAAATTGGTACATTAGAGGTTTTTTGCAATTTTTTTTTATTTGCATCCTTGACTTTTTAGGTCACGAAGTAAGATTCGATTTCTTTGCCAAACCAAAATAATCATTAATTCTTATTCGATGGCATAAACTTGGCCCAAAATATCAAGCGAACTTATAAATTTATTAGATTATGGTAATAATTAAATTATATTTATAAGGAAAAGTTTGACAGAGACACAATTTTTATAAAAAAAATAAAGTAGGAGGATGGTATTGGACTAACATTTATATAGAATAGCCAAACACAAGATTCAAAAAACAACAAAAATTAATAACAAATAATTTGCACATGTATATTGAATTAATTTAGAACCTTTTACAGCTTAATTTTAAGTAACATATTGTATAAATACGATATGTTATGTATACATATAGTATATCTCAGTTATATGATTTTAAATTTTAAAACAATACATATACGAGTACATGTCAGGCTATTCAGACTATTGAGAATAATGTGTGGACAAGTTTATAAGCGTTGTAAGAGATGTTAGATACCACATGGTTCAAATATATTTGATCTTTGTTTATATATAATAAAAAAAACAAAAAACGAGTATGTAGCAACTTTGAACATAGATTTTTTATAGATCCAATTAGATTATACTGATAATGGGTAAACTTATATAGCATACCATTGTACTATATACAGTTAAAGCTCTCTATAGCGAACCTCCCTATAACGAATGCCTCTCTATAATGAAGTTTTGTTGAAAACACAGCGATTTTCAAATATTTGAACCGCTCTATAGCGAACCTCTTTATAACGATTTTTTCCATAGCGAATTCCTGTCTATAAAGAAGTTTTTGGCAGGCGCCCACGACTTCGTTATAGAGAGGTTTGACTATATTTTATATAGAAACATAAAACTAAACTATATATATAAAAAAACTCTATATATAAATATATATATAAATAATATATATATATTTATATATATATATATATTTAAATATATTTTATATATATAAATATATATAAATAATAAGTAAGTGATTTACAATAAGGTTGTCTGTGTCTGTGTGCAGGATTCCGAAACTACTGTAAAGTTAAATGTATCTTTAAAAATGCTTTGTAAAAGTTTTTCCAGAGAAACTGTTTTTAATTTTACCCAAGTTTTTCATTTTTCTTTTTTTTTCTACTTTAGGTTTTATTTTACGATTGAGTTTATATTGGCACTGTTGTTGTTATTGTTTTTGTTATTCTTAAGTTGAGTGCTCAAGTATATATGGCAGTTAATACCGATTTCGGTTAAAAGTAAAATAAATTACTACTACCCATATTGTTTTTATTATTATTGAAATCTGAGCTCACAAGTACAAATGTCAGTGAATATGTTTGACAAAAATCGTGTATAAAATGCATTAATTGGACTAATTATTAACTATCACTTTGTAAATTTGCAATTTCAATTTATCTTTAAAATAATCGTAAGTTGAGTATCTAAAAATAACATCTAAATGCATAGATACAAATATTTTTATGAATGCAAATACTTGAAGGTACTGAAGGTTCACATAGAAATTGCAAGAAATTATTTGACCGTTGAGAAACCAGAAAATGTTAATAGGTTGGCGCTATTAACATTTTAGCACAGATTTTCCAGTGCGATAGTGTTGGCCAAATTGGCTGAAACTATAGTTTACAACGCGATACATTCGTGTGGAAATATTATTTGTTTTTCATACCCGGCGAATAATTAACTTGCTAATGTAATTATATGCTCCAATGAGTCAAAGTGTTGCATTTTCCACAGCCCACTTTTGTTGTGTTCGCAGCTAAAATATTTTGCTTCAATTTAGTAGATAAATTTCTGATTTGACTATGAAATTATAGTCTCATTAAATGTTGAGAGCACGTTATTGACAGGAATTCAAGTTTTTAAATATGGTAATTATACATAAATTTGAGAATTTGTGATTGGCAATAGTCAACAGTTTTTTTTTTTTAATTTTGATTACTACTTCATATATGAATAAATGACATTTTTCACTTAATACTCGTAATGTTGAATAATAAAGAATTTAAATATTATTATAGTAATTCTGATAGAGCTCAAAACTGGGAACTTAATCTGATGAAGCTTGTAGGTTTTATAGGGAATAAGAATAAGACCTTAAAAAACGTGCTTGAAATTTATATTTCATAACCGATGAACAAATAAAACTTTATAATGTAGGTTGAATATTACAATTAGAAAATTAGGCTTGGAACAATACTGGAAGGGGCACAATAGATCTCTAGGACACAATGTAAATTTAATAATAATAATAATGTTGGCAGTGGTACCAATTAAAAGTGGTACAACGTTTTAACTGACTTATTAATTTCTAGATTATGTGGTATTATAAAAAGAAATATGATCTGTTATAATAAGATGAAAATAATTATAAAATATATGTAGAAGAACTTATATATTCAATTATTTTATTAGAATATAAACTTGTATTCGGTTATTTTGTCATTATAGTATCAACATTCGATTTACCTGTTAAAGTTTTCTGCTTTCTTTATAATCAATTATTACGATTACTCATTTATAAAAAATGTTTATTTCCTAATTCCAACAATCCCTAATAATTACTTATAAATAAGAAAAATTCCACTCATATCAATAAAATTTCAATTGCTCATTAATTAAATAATATCACTTGTATCCAATAAAAATTGATTGCTATAACTGCTCATTTAAATAGCAATTTTGCAATATCTGCACAAAAAGCATAAAGACTCCAAATCACATACAGAAATAAGGCCAATAATTTCAAATTAAAACCCAACCAGCCTATTGCTCCACCTTGATGTCAACATTTAACCATAAAACCCCCTGAAGTATTCGGTTGTTGTAGTTCGTGCAGTAGGCAGCTTGAGTGTGAGCTGGCGAATATGCAGCAACCGCCTAAATCCAGACTCGAAAGACAAATACATATGACGCGGCGGCTCTAGCGAAACAGCATGAACGGTAGCCCAAGCATATAAACACAACACAACTGAATATTAGTTTATGGGCGCACATCAGTTAGGAGACTGTCTGCCACTACTGTGCAGTTAGTTTATTAACGCCCTTAAGGCAGCAACATGTTGCTACCTTTCTTGCTCCTGCTGGCACATTCAACATAAACATAAACATAAACATAAACAAAATACGTAGAAATGCTCACAAATTGCGAATTTATCTTAAATGTGCAAACGAAATGAAATATATTTCAGCGTACACTAATTAATGGACATTTTTAGGGCCATCATCAACGTCAGCATCATAAAGGGCAGCAGATAGTCGTACAACGCCATGCATAAAAATGCCACATTATTGAGTCAACATAAAGAATTCCTTAAGTGAAATTGTATCTGAAATACAAATCGTTTAAGATTCGAAAAATGTCACATTAATTAAAAGGCAAACGAGATGTGGGTAAGCAAGTAGGTCGTTATGCAGCAGAAAAACATTTTGAAATAAAATTGAATGACAAACTTAAAGTTAATGCAAAACTAATAAAATTTGAGAAATTCCCAACTTCTTGACAAGCAGAAAAAAATAAGAATTATTTTAAACAAAAAAAAAAATAATATAACCACGTCTCTTGAAGAAAGATAGTAGCGTGTAACGCAAAATCAAATTAAGTGCCTAATAAACAGAGGAGCAATTGGATCTAGTTTCAAACCTAGTTTCATTTGCTTCTCATAGTCAAAATTGCTTCCTTT